TTCTCTGTCCTTTTACCACCTCATCATGGTCTTCCATCCTTCACCTTTCTGTTACAACCTAGCATATCCACTCTTTCCTTTCTCCTCCATATCCCCCACCCAATCAAGTTTATTCTTCCTATTTTTTTATCCTGTACCCATATGAGAGAACTTAACAACCAGGGGCCAGATGCTGCTCTCACCTTAATCTAAATCAAGAATAGCTTCATTGAATGTAATACTGTTCCTACAACTCTGGATCTACATTATCGTAGCTGAAAACGGCATGTAGCCCCATGTAGTTAAGTTCTTCTTGCAATACTTTTAGTTGCATTTCCTGTAACTCCCTTACTGGGCCACCACTTCCTGCCACAGGATAGTAATTTTTATGACTGAGCAGCTACTAGAGGTGATTCAGAGAGAATGGAAAAAGGCAGCTTGAACTGCCAAACTCAGCGTGGTTCCTCATACAGTTCTGCTTCCAATCCTCTTTAGAAAGGACTGCCCAGCTGGAGAGAAACGCTCAGGATCTGAACAATCTGTACAGTACTGTTACTCCTCATGCTCGACAGAAAGGGTGATCTATTGATTAAGTCTATAGCCTGGGACTCAAGACCTGGTTTCAGTTCCCTGTTCTGCCAGACTGCCAGTGTGGTGTTGGGCAAGTTAATTGGCTTTTCTGTGCTCCATCCCCCTGTAAAATGGGGCTGATAGGGCTCTCTCATTGGAGCGTCGTGAGAATAACTGCATTCATGAGCATGAGGACCTCAGATTCCATCATGACAGGGACCATCTACACCCCTAAGACAGTTTACAGTGGAAGCACTGAAGAGCTCCAGTCCTGGATACAGAACGAAGATGGTCTGTGCCCTAAAGGGCTTGCAAATTAAAAGGCAAGGTTCTTTGAGTAGATGTGGTATCTTTTATTAGACCAACTGAGTAGCTGGAAAAAAGTCTCAGACCAGCACAGACTCCCTATGCCTGAAGAAGTGTGAGACTTCCTATGCCTGAAGAAGGGTGACTGCACCCGAAAGCTTGCTAAGAACTTGTTTCCAACTACTCATTTGGTTGAATAAAAGATATTACACCTACTCAAAAAACCTTGCCTGCCTATGTCCTTAGATCAACACAGCTACAACTAAAAACCCAGTTTACAAATTAAATGCAAGCTGAGAGGCAACAGGTGGGAGATAATCAAACAGGAGTCATCCAAGGAGACAAAGCAACAGTGCTGGTCAGCTTAGGCAACTCTCATACCACGCCAGCTGTCAAACCAACATGAAGCAAGCACTCTGACGGAGCTCTCTGAGCAACATTGCACATCCTTTGCCTGATGAACGAACAAAGGACCAAAACATCCTAGTCTGTGTAAGCAGAAATGGCCTGAGATTATGCTTCCCTCCCATGCTTTTTACATGCTTTCAGTAGCTGACAACCACAATAAATCTGTGATGCAGCAGTCAGATGCACTGAGTCAGAATGGCCATTTTTAGTCATTTTGTCTTTTTTAAGTAGAACTCTTAAGTGGGTGTCATTGTGTGAGTCCAGGAAGCACGCATGAGCCATCTGATCTCCTGACCTACCAGTCAGCAGTAAAAAGATTCACCTTAAGAGATCTGGCACACCCTTGTCAAAGCTGTACATTCTGCAACTCACTAGATCACCCAAGAAAAGTTAAATATAAATCCTAGTTTACTTAGTAGTGCTTTCAAGTCACAAAGCTTGAATGTTTTCTGCAGTTACTTTGATTAGATAAATCAAATTGTATTTGGTGGGTTTCCACCTAGAGCTACACATTTCTACATTTCTGTTTTCAGTACCACCTCAGCCACAGGATATTTTCTATCAGGAGACATCCAACACCATTTTGCCATCAGCCAGATGGGGAAGTGACACATGTCAGTCCAGGAACTGAATGAGCTGAGACAGGTTTTAATTTTGCTCGTTGTGAAGAGTCAAGTTAAAACTTCCCCTCTGGACTTTTTGGGCTTTGCTAGGGCCAGAAGAGGAATATTCTGGGTTCACCCCACAGCCCGGGCTGGCTGAAAAGCCCTGACTAGCATACAAGGCCAGCTCCTACCATCATCCCCTTCATGGAGAGAGAGAGATGCACACAGAAGGAAGCTGCAGGGTGCAAGGCAGCCTCTATCTAGGTGGAGGGAGGATGCTGCTCTTAAGTGGGCTTGCTCCTCTATAGCAGGTTTCCCTCCCACCCCTTCTCCTTTGCTCTCTGCTCTATTCCCCCTCTTTACTCCCTCTCTTTTTCATTTCCCACATTACAGTAGTGTAAGCATGATGTTGCAGCTGTGATGGTCCAGAAACTAGACGAGAGGCAAGGATGTCTTAGGGTGATACCTTTTATTGGACCAACCATGAAGTTGGAATGAAGATAGGCAAGTTTCGAATACAAGACCTGAGCAGGAATGCTTTGAAAACTCATCTAACTTTATCCCAGCAACACAAGTGGTTTGCTCAGTAACAGGTATCACCCTATGAAATCCTTGCCTCTCATGTAATTTATTTCCAACATTTTTACTTTCCCTGCTCCTCTCCACCTCCCCTCCCTATGCCAGGCCTTTTGTTCTAGCTTCCAATAGACAGGGCCATTCCCACAGCTGCCGCAGCCTTTTCCTTCTCTCAACTCATTTCTCCTGCCCGACCCCAGTCCACTGCTCCATCCACTGCACACACTGCACTCGCTAGCAAACCCGTCAGCCATGTTATAGCCAGGAAACAAGCTCCAGCCACTGGCAGGGAAATGTCTATGTGGCCTGCAACCCCTCCGGCGCAGCGGCGCTTCAGACCATCTGAGCCACAGGGATCAATCAGGTAAGGACTAAGTTTGCTGCTCCTATCAACCTCAGCCTAGTGATAACCCTGATATACATGTATCCCCAGCCAGCCCTCCCCAGCATCTGACCCTGCCTCTACCTGTACCACATACACCCCAAAGCCAATCCAGGTATAACCAGTCATCACTACTACACCTCTGACCCATAGCGCACATACCTTAATACCAGTCATCCCTACTACAACCCTGATTCATGGTACATACACCCCCAGACACACCTATTGCACCCAGGCCCCATAGCACCTATACCTCCTCAATCACTCCCTGTCCAGGGACTCACCCTTATTTCATACTGATCCCCACAGCACAACCATGGCGGGGATGGGATTATCTAGCTGGGGATGGTCCTGCCTTGAGCAGGGGGCAGGACTAGATGACCTCCTGAGGTCCTTTCCAACCCTAATTTTCTATGATTCTAACCATCCCAAACACCCCAACACCAACACTCCAGTTTCCCACTCCTCTTCAACCTCTAGCACCCTCAAACAAACCTGTCCCTCCACAAGTCACTGTAACGCACTCAAAACCTGCTATTAACCACTAACCTCCCCTTATCACTAATTCTCTCCTAACATACCTGTGGACCCTCCAACATCCCTGCTGCTCACACATCCCAACCCCCTGCAACCTTGAACACACACACCCAGTGCAGACATCCCTCATATGCTCATACACTCATTTATTCAGCCCCTGCACTGTCTCTGAAATCGAATGTCTAGTGCCACTTCCACAAGACTTACCCTCTCTTTTTCTAGTCTAAGTTATCCTCCAGTCAGGACCCCTGCCACCTCAGCCCTATGCAGAGACTGTGACAACTCTTCAGTCCCCTGAATGCCTTGGCTCAGGTCTAGCACATCCTCCACAATAAACAGTACTTTCCCATCTGCTCCCCAAGTCCTGTTTTAGCTCAGACACCTCCTCCCTTCCCTTCCAGTCTGCATAAAGCCACTGAAATGCAGCTTTTAGAGACTTTTAAAACTTTATTAACATGGGAAATTAATAGCCCCTTTGAAGAGAGAAGAGTGGCTATGATTATGTTACAAGGCAAGAGCATTAACCATGATCATTTTCCCTTCCCTTTGTACGGTCCAGAATCTGACACAAAACGTTTACTGTGTCTTGACCATTTGCAGTACCTCAGGTGCTCCCAGTCATCCCATGAAAAAACTTAAAAGGGGAGAGATGTAACATGGTTTGTCTTGGTTCAAATACAAGACCCACTTGAAGCCTTCACACCTGAAATTCAAATGATGTGATGCAGCCTCATGACTTAGGTCCTGCTGCACTGAATAATGTTCAAGAATTACCTCCCTTAACTTGTCAAGTACATTTAAAATACAAAATGACACTGCTCTCCTGCCAATGCATTTCAATGCATTTCTAAGATGCAACACCAAATCTTGACTTTAAAAAATCCCACATGCACCTCTGGCTTTCATAGGAACATGAATTGAAAAAGATACCCCCTTCCCTTATCAATGAAGATTCAAAGAAATGCAAGAGCCTTCTCCCTAGTCTTTCAACACAAAAACATTTTTAAAAAATGGAATACGCACTGTTCCTTTACTTCTACAAATGCATTTAAAAAAATACAACCAAATCCCCCTGCTTGTACTGTACAACCCCCCTTGTACTTAACTGTAAGTGCAATTTAAAACATTTCAAGATACAGCATGCATTTTATTGGCCAGTCAACTATACCATGGTAATTAATTAAACACCACCTCCTCCTCTTTCAAAATATGGCAGCAGAGTAATAGGAACATAAGGCTGTGGGGAGGTTTTTAATTACCATGTTCAGCCGTTGAAACAGAAAGAAAGCAGAGGAGGAAAGTAAACACAGCAACCAACAAACGACAGAAAGAGAGAGAGGCCTATTTGTACTGCTGATACTTTACTTTTATCCCCTCCTCCTGGGAAGATGGAGCGCAGCCTGGCCTTCTTGTTTTTCTCCTCTGGGGCCATGGGGAGCGGTTTGGAGCTGTGGTTCAGTGCTGAAGAATCACGATTGTTGCTGTTCATTCTCAACGGAGGGGCTGGAGGTTTCTCTTCAATATCCAGACTATCGGACATCTTCAGCAGCCCTCACAGCCTCCTGCAAATGGCACAACACAGAGCATCCTGGTGAAGAAGGGACACCAAGCCTGGAGTTATGGGAAAGGGAGAAGACGCTACAGGTGCTATGAGTAATAGAAGTTAGTTTCACCTTTTTGAACTGGGTCCTCTTGGTACTATATACCAACTCAAACTGCCTGTGCCAGGGCTGGCCAACCTGCAGCACGGGTGCCACACATGGCATAGGCAGGCCCTGTGTATGGCCCATGGCAGACTGGGGGAGGACAGGCAGCACACGGCAGAGAGCAAAAAGTAGGGCATCAGATTAGGCAGGGAGCATGGGGAGGGAAGCAGAAAGCTGAGCAGCAGATCAGATAAGGGAAAGGAATCGGGGTGGTACTTGGGGAAGGTGAGGGCTAATCTGTGGCACACCTGCCAAAAAGGTTGGCTCGCACTGACTCATACTAGACATGAGAACTGTAAAAACAGTGTTAAAGCATTTCCAGCCCAGGTACAGTTTTAAAAATTATATTTAGAAACTCATTTCTCTGTTGCTTGTTTACAAACCAGGCCAGGCCATCTAAAGCAAAATTTAGTGATGTTTACTGAAATGTGAAATGTATAATGTTTAGATCATCAAGAAACTACTTGTCACTGGAAAGAGCAGACCACAAAGATTTCTATTTCTTTCCTGCTTCATGCTGGTTAAAAAGTTTATCCCTGCGAGTTTATAGCTTCAGAAGGGGAGCATGTTCACTACGGCAAATGATTTTGAAGCACTGATTTTTTGACCCATAAAAATAAGCAACAGACTTGCTTCATACTCAATACACAAAAAAATAGTTTCATAGTTTCTAGGGAAACAATAACCACATATTGAAAACCATTTGGATTTCCCTCCATCCTGTTATATTTCCATACCAGCATGTTATAGCAGGGATGTTTAAGAGCTAATTGTAACATTCTGGTATTGTGTGGATGTTCATGATGGCGTTGTAGACTGATCTGTCAAGTCATGGGCTGTGTGATCTTGGTACATGACTGGAAGCTGATCACTGGGCGTTCTTCTGCTTTCCCTGAACTGATACATTCATGTGAATTTAAAAAACCTAGAAATAGTTGCACAAGAATTGCAAGTAGATATAAGGAAGGAAAGGCATGACAAATATTAAATCTCCCAACCTTTCTGGTATATTTGCAACAGAAGTACAAAAGACAATAATATCAAACTAGTGTGACAAACAAGAGGTGATCTGGTCAAATGAGCTCTGAATACATAACCCTCAGAAATAAAATCTTATCCACATTCCACTTTTTTCTTAAAGGGTCTCTACAGTTTAACAATTTGCCTCGCAAAACCTCTGATTTCCATTTGGGAAGGGCTTATGTGAACCACTGGCGAACGTGTGTTACAAGGCTCCTTTTGTGCTGGTGATGTATGTTGTTACAGCTGCCAGCCAGGGAGCCTATGCTCTCAAGCTTAAGATATAGCAGCACATGCTATTAGCTCTGGAGGTCCCAAGGTCAATCCCACTGAGTGATCCAAAGATGGAAGCCCTTCTGCTTATAAGATCAAGTCCGGAGGCACTATGTTATGAATGTAAACACTTGCGTAGGCACAAGTTTAGGGCCAGGGAAAGCTACTCGTTTGTGTGGTTGCAGGACTGGTCAGAGACCCTAACAGAGATTGTATTCATAGTGACATAAGTAAAGTTTTGTCAAGATCTTTTCACTAGCATGACCAATTTTTAAGGGTTACTAAAACTAAAAATTTGCATTGGCTTCAGTGAGCGTTATATGCATGCAAAAACTAAAAGATCTGTCCAGAAGTGAGAGAAATTCACTATAGTCTAAATTGGTTATAAAAACACATATGGTTTTAGTCTCTGTCATTTTTGTTTCAATAGCACTGCACACAAAATGGTGTTTTTCTCTCTCTCTTGTATTACTGTATTTACTAACTGAATTTAGCCTGTATGAGATCACAAATTAGCAAGCACTGAAATTCAAACCCTCTGCCCATAGCCAGTACCTATATATGAAGTGTATATACAGTACATCCTAATGCATGATAACCTTGAAGTGAGCATGCGATGGGCTTTTACAAGAAGTGAAGCTTTAAATCTCACTCAGTAGGTACTGAACGGAGATCCTCAACTCGTACCTGCCAGATAACAATCCAGCAGTCACCAGTGACCTAGGCGGGACTTATATCATTGACCTAAGAGACAGAAAGAAGCACCCCATCAGGATCCTATTTTTATGAACTTCTGTTGCTCTAGGGGGCAAAAGAGCAAGTGACAACAATTATCAATTAAAGCAGGGGTGGGCAAATTGCCACACACCAGGCCGTTCTATCCGGCCCGTGGAGCCCTTAAAACATTTAGAAAATGAACACTAATCTGCCCTGGACTGCCTGTCATGCGGCCCTCAATGGCTTGCCGAAACTCGGTAAGTGGCCCTCTGCCCAAAATAATTGTCCACCCCGAATTAAAGAAATGTGAATGTGGGGACTTAGTGCACAGGTGTCTCCCATCTAGTGGCGCCAGGTCTATTGGCTCAATGAACTGCAAACTAAAGCATTTCTAAGAAAGCTTTGATGCTGGACCCGTGGAAATGATTACAGTTGTTCAGGTCAATGACCCTCTAAAGCCCTTGACACAATAATGGCCTTGAATCAATGGCCAGGAGTACACAGTGCTTGGAAGAGTCTGCAATTCTGTCCTTATACCATTCTGTGGTCAGTGTACATGCATTTACATGTCATTTTCAACCCAGTTCTCATCTTTGAAGCATATAAACAGCCTCTAGTAACTAAAAACTCCAAAGAGAACAAACCACAGGTGGGACTAGATGTCTCAGGACAGAGGTAAAAGGATGGAAGGCACATTCCTTGTATGAGCACACACGTATTAACATAGAGAGCATCCTGCTGTGCTGTCTGTAAAGTTTTAGGTTTCTGCTCCAGGCTCCTGACTTGAGATTATTTTCATGTATTTGTCTGGTTGTTTCTTGATGTGTTACCATAATAATAAATATTAGTCTTATGTACGTGCATGGTCTGTGTGCTTGGTTATGGATCAGAACTCCATTGTGTTAGACACTGTACAAAACACAGAGGAAAAAAAACAGTTGCTACCCCACAGATCTATTCCAATCCAAGTGGAAATTTGGGCATGTGCTCACCAATTACCTAACCCTCCCTGGGAGTTCTTCCCTGACAGTCACCCTTTATGTGACGCTGATATAACAAAGGACCCCCTTACACTCCTATTTGCACCCTTTCCACATCTTTTTTTTTACCCTAGCATGGTAAGAACCTAACTATAATGAAAATTAGGCCCTGACATGTCAGCTGTCAAATCTCATCTACAGTAGGAAGCTGTACAGCTCTAACTAGGCAGTAGCTGAAGTTGAGGTGTATACAAGTATAAGCCAGGTCTCTACAACAAGGTTTCGTAGACATAACTGTATTGGCTGGAAGGGAGGAGGAAAAATGGAACATATGAACGTACACCTGCCCCTTCCCACCTCTCACCCCCTCCCTCGGTCCAGGCCAGCCAAACCCTTGCAGAAGCCACACTTCTACCAACAAGACAGTTAGCCTATGTCATTTAGGGCAATGGAATAGCTCCATACCAATAGAAAACCTTTTCTACTGTCACACAGTACTTCTCCAGCAGGGGGCTCTGCCAGGCTAAAGTACTCCAACATGGCTACAGGAGCAAAGTCTGTTCTAGTGTAGACATGCCCGTAATTAAAGTGGCACAGCTTCCCTACTGTGGACAAAGTTATGCAATGTAAAGGTGATATACCCCAACATAGCTTTGCCCAATCAGCTGTTCCAATATAACTGTGATTAAACTCTTTGTACCCTTATAACTAGACCAGAAAAAAGCCACACTTCCAACCAACACACTTATTCTAGTATAACTATCAGGTGTAGATCTGACCTGATTTAACTGACTCAGAGTGTTTGCTTTTGTCGGTTGATGTCCAATATTTTACAATTAATGGGGTTTTGCTTTCTGTGTTTTCATGTAAATAAGTGTTGGAGTTTTCCAAATTATGGCAGCAAAAAAAAACGATGATGAAGCACAGTTTATGCAAATAGTGACACTGGGCGCATCTACACATTCATTAATGCATTTTAGGTAATGCACATTAAATCTAGTACTTCTGGGCATTTTTACACATGTAAGCATGCAGTGCCAGGTGCTTCAAAAAGTGCTTAGAAAAGCACTCAGAGCTGCATAACTTACAGTTGTAGAAGTGGCAAAACACGTGTCAGCATGCAGAAAATGGTGGCGGTCCGCTTTTGACCTAAAACACAGAGAAGGTGTTTTAGTTCAAAAGTGCACCGCTGTCATTTTCTCCGTGCTGACGTGCATTTCACCACTTATACAACTGCAAGCAATGCAGCACCATGCACGTCAGCTTGCATGTGGAGCAGACTCAATTAATCGCATCTGCTCCGGCGTGCTGGATCTCCAGTGCATCTAAGCACAAAAATGTATGCATATAAATGACCTCCATTGTGAGGTACTAGAAAAATGTATATTAGCCTGGCTTAACGCACGTGAACTAAAGCGAATGCTTTTCAAGGGACACTTAGTGCACATTAGCCCATTTTAAAACGTACAGGTAGTCCTCGGACGAATGACACAATTGGTGCCTGAAAACTGCATGTTAAGACAAAACGTTGCAACTCGGAACCAATTTTCTCATAAGAAACAATGTTATAAATGGGGGATTGGTTCCTGAACCAAGGCCTGATAACCTGTTCTTACTAAAAATACCCCAGAATTTTGTACTTGATCAATTATAGATGAGTAGTATAGCTACCTTAATGTATTTATATTGTAAATAGCAATCATATTGGTTTGGAAGGACTTCTTTGAGGTGACTTTGCTGGACTTTTTGAAAGGCTCTTGGTTGGACTTTTTGAAGAGTTCCTGGCTGCAGGTTTTTCTGGAGTCTTGTCTGCTTTCTTAAAGAAAATGTCCAAGAAAGTTTGGACAGATATTCTCCAGGGAGATG